TTAAAGGTTAATTTTTCTCTGTTTGGTGAGATAAAATTTCCATTGCCATTTTATTTTCATCAAATACCACATTTCGACTGATAATACATCTTTCTTCCCCTTTTTCAACACACCATAGTTTGAAAACTTTAACTCCATTTGGATAACTCAAGAACAAACACTTCTTTGCCCTGTGATCAAGTTTACCCTCACATGAGTGAAAGCAACACATTCAAAGATTTTGAGATTGCTAAGATTAGGTGGATGTCCATACCACTTTTCTATAGGAGTTGTAAAGCCAATCACAGTTGATGGACTCCTATTTATCAAATATGTGGCTATCATCAAAGTTTCCCCAAAAAAATTTCTTCGGTAAGTTTGCATTTGAAATTAAACATCTCACTATTTGTTGAAAGTTTCCCCATTTTGTTGAGAAGTTCCTCTAACAGCGAGATGTCTTTGAATTCCATACTTTGCACAGTAATCCTTGAACTCATTTTTCAAGAATTCAAGGCCATTGTCAGTTCTTAGGCATTTCAACTTGCGTCCCATTTCGTTTTCCACCAAAGTTTTCCATTCAACAAACCTCTTGAAGGTTTCATCTTTCGATTTTAACAGGTATGTCCAAACCCTTCTAGAATAGTCATCTATAATCGAAAGAAAGTACCTAGATCCACCCATAGTTGGTATTCTTTCCGGGCCCCACAAATCAGCATGGGCATAGTCAAGAATAGCCTTTGAATGATGTTGTCCAGTTCCAAAGGATACTCTTGTTGTTTTCCCATAAATGTAATGTTCACACATTTCTAAGGTGCCAATTGATTGTTTTCCCAACAGCCCTTACTTGTGAAGTTTCTTTAAACCTCTTTCACTGACATGTCCTAACCGAGCATGCCATAACTTTATAAGCTGTTGATCATGAAAGGAAGCCACTGTTAGATAACCTACTACTATACTACCTAAAATGTACAGACCATTACTCAACACTCCTTTAATTTTCACCATTGCTCCCTTTATAATCTTCATTCTACTATTCTCCAGCTTGCACATGTACCCATTGCTCTCACTCCTCAAATTACCACACCCCTTTTAAAAAGCAACCTCACCCTTTTATTCCGTCAGATTTTATTCCTAAAATCTAAGGTTTACAACAAGAGAGAGATTTTACATGCTTCCCATTAGAAGGATCTAGACTTCGTGAGTGGAGCTCCCATTACTGGATAACCAATTTTGATCAGAATAACCAATTTCTACAGCTGGCATAAACCCACTAAAGGGTAATATTGTAAATATCCGTATGAGGAAGTAGGGCTGGAGACTAATGATTTTAGTCATCATCCAGGTGAGCAGCAATGAACTCGATTGAGGAAGGTAAACAAAGAAAATTGACTGCAAACATTAGTTGAGTTGTCACTAAATGCACCATTTCCCCATCTCACGAATTAATGGTCCATTGGATCAATTAGGTGGGGCTAATTCTCAAAGGTTGATTTAAGGAGTGGTTACCATCAAATTAGAATTAATGAAAAACCGCCTTAAAAAAATGAAGGTTAATTTGAATGCTTAGTCATGCTCTTCAGTCTCTCTAATGTCCCAAGCACCTTGATGAGGTTAATGAACAAGGTTCTTGTTCCATTATTAAATAAGTTTATTGTTGTTTAATTTGATGGTATTCTTATTTATAGCAAAACTAGGGATGATCACATCTCAATCTTTTGTTTTCTACTTTGGTTAAACAGAAGTTATATATCAACCTTAAAAAATATCTTTTCCTTGTCCTTAAAATATCACTCCTTGATTTTATTAGTAGACAACATGGAATTAAAATGGATCGAAAGAAGCTACAGTCTATTTCTGTTTTTCGAATGGTCACACCCTAAACCCATAAAAGATATACATTGCTTCCTTAGATTAGCATCTTTTTACCACAAATTCATTAAAAACTTTAGTTCCATCACTCTCCCATTACCAATTGTCTTAAAAAGGAAAAAAAAAAATTAGGGAAGAACAAACATGTAGTTTTCAACTTCTTCATAATCATAATTTCCACCCAATTGAATATATTAGTGAAAAACTCAATCCCTCTAGGTGGAGCACCTACGAACAAGAATTATATGCTTTAGTTCGTGCTCTCAAGCAATGGAAACATTACATATTAGCAAGGAATTTATACTGTTTTCGAATTATTTTTCCCTTAAATTCCTTGACACGACCCGTCCCAAATCACTTACTAATCCTAGAACAAGTCGCGTCGACCATAGACTCCGACTAACTACGAAGTTCATGGTCAACTTCTTATTTCTTTTGGCCTGAAACTTTGACTTACAAGCTTTGAATGGATGCATAATAAATTAATAATTCTTACCGAACAACCATTCATACATCCATTCTAAACATTCCTTTTTATCAAAAGTGTGCAGATAAAATTTCTTACAAACCAACGAAATTTACATACAATTGACACACGCATATAGAATGTCATACAATTCTTGAATTATTCTGGGTGGCAGAAGCTGATCTACTTTCTCCTTAAAGCTCAGAAGCTCAAAACAACCTGGAAGGAAAAAGAAAACATAAATAATGAACTGGGAAGCTCAGTGAGTGGTAGGTTAATAAGAAAATATTCTCGTAAAACTTCTTTCATAAACAACTAGAATTCAGCTCTTAAAAAAAACCTCATAAAACTGAAGTAACAAACATTCTCATTTAGATTTCACAAAACTTGAGCAACTAAAAACTCAGTAAACTTTCTTAAGATCAAACTTGTAAAAAAAATTTCTTTCTAGACAAACTAAAAAGACAACGCTCCCAAGTTCAGGATTTGGAATCCGAATTTGGCCCTAATCGCCCCGGCATTCCCCTGCGTCCTGTACGACCTAGTTACGCCAACTTCTCAACCTGCTCTAAAACACATTAAAAAACATATAAAACATTGTTCTTTAAAACATAAAACAGATAGATAAAACTGAACACCACACTCGTATCCATATTCTATTATGGTCTACTGGCATAGACTAATCTCAATACATACAGCAAAATAATTCTCTTAACGCGCAGAGTAAAATTGTCCCAAAGACCTTCTATTTCTCGGTATACTATAGAAACATATTCTTATAGCATATGGGTAATCATCTAGATACAATAACATGGTGGTTTGAAAACTTCTTTCTGCATAAAATTCTCAATCTCATAAATAGTTCTAGAATTCTTCTTTTCTTCTTTCTAAGAAATTTTCTAACTTTCTTAAATAATTTCTAAAATCTTTCTTTCTAAAACATTTCATAAAACTCTAAAATCATTTATGAAATCTCTTTCTAAATAACATTTCATAACTTTCTCGAACATTTTTTTGAAATCATAAAACATTTCTAAATTTTAAGAAATATTTCTAAATTATCAAACAAACGCATTTTCTTCCGTTCTTAGCAGAAATGCTAAATCATACCTAATATATATAACTTCTTAAAAATTCAATATTAATAGATACTATAAAATATTTAATAAAATAACCACTCACAAATTCTAAGAATAAAATCCAAAACATTTAGTAGAGTAACCACCCACAAATCCTTTAAATTGAGTCATCCTTTACTCCAATTTTCGCCTGATCTAAAATATCGATTCAACACCAAATTACACCAAATTAACTCCTTAATTCCATCGTACACTTAATTCAAACTTAAACCCCAATATCTTCAAATAAAATCAATTATCAATTAAACAACCCTTCCTCTTTCTTCATTAACAACTCACAATATTTTACAATTCATTCTCTCTCTTCATTAAAACTCTTCTTTTCTCCCTCACAGCACTACTTACAAGTGGGATCCACCATTTACCAATCAATTTCTCTTGTTAATTCATTCACGCAACCTCCCCTCTCTTTTACCCAATTTCTTTTCTTTTTCTTATTTAATTTTAATCCACAAATTTATCTCTCCCTTCAATAGTTATTCATCTTCTTCTTTCTTATCGCTTCAAACCCACGAATTTCTCCGTTTCTCTACCCTTTCTTCTTGTTCCTTTCCCTCTCTGCTTTCTTTCTTTTTCTCAACCAAGAAACCCATTTCCACTTGATTTCTGTGACATCTCCAATCCCCATAATAAAACCCTTAAGCTCGTCCCTAATCATTTTTCATATTCTTTCTTCAACAGCCTCAACAAATTCTCCTTCAAGTTTCTGTCATAAACCTAGAAATAAAACCTTCCTCCTTTGTAAAATGGATTATTAAGGCCAAAAAATCTAATTTCTTTAACTCTTCTAACTAGATTTTTGAAAAAATAAAATGATTGAAGAACGAACCGACAACTAAGTTTCAATTTCCATTCATTCAAAATTTCTTCAAACAAACTCCATAATCTCAAACATAAATACTTACCAATTTCACTTCTTCCTCGAAAATATCTTTAAAATCAGCCCAAAACGAACTTGAATTTCCCTTTTTCCTCTGTTTTTCCTTCTTTTTCATTCTCCTCTTTTTTTTCCTTTCTTTTCTATTATGTTCTTTTCTTTCCTTCTTTCTTTTCTTTCCTTTAAAGCCATCTCTGTTTTACACGTGTCCCAAAACCACAATTTTCTTTTTTTTTTTGTTTCTTTGGTGGTAAAAGATCATAATACCCTCATAAACCAACTCTACCCTCATAAACCAACTCAAGTAGAATATTCCAAATTTCTTTTTTTTTCTTTACAGCTTAAAGGGCAAACATGTCCTTACATTCCTTGACACTAAAAAAACCATCAGTCTAATGCATGCTCGATGGTTGTCCTTCTTACAACAGTTTGATTTTATGATCAAGCACAGCGCTGACACAACTAATAAGGCTATGGATACCCTAAGCTAAGAGGGGAAGTCTCTTAACATTACTTCAAGGAGAAGTGATAGCTTTTGAACACCTACCGTGTACTTATGCTCATTGATAAGACGAAAAATACACCCATATTTTATATAGTTATTTTACATTTTATTAATTTATTATGTTTAAATATTTGAATTTAATTCTAATTTATAATTTTGTGGCAGATTGAAGATATTCAAGAATAATAATTTAAAACCGCAATTTTAGAGGATAATGTGGACTTCACCAATTTGGGAAGAGTTCAACGGATAAATACAGACACAATTATTATGGCCGGAAGCTTCAATTTGAGAATTATGAATTTTTAGGATATTTTGTAAATAAAGATATATAATCAAAGTAGGAAACATAATCCTCAATTGATTAGGAACTCTTTTATTGAATTTATTTTCTTTTAAAAATGATATTTCCCAATTAGTTAGGAATTCCTTATTAGAGATAATTCCTCCTTAAAAGAGGATAAAGTTAATCTCTATAAATAGAGAAGCCTTATTGGGAGATCCATCATCCAAGTTCCAACGAAAAGCTCTATTCCCCAAAATTCAGTTCTCTCCCTCTACCATGAGTGGCTAGGCTTTAATTCTTCCAACTCAAAGGTGATTCAAGTCCAATTGTAAGCTTGGGAGGCTCAAGTTAGATAGAGATTTCTTCTTTTTCAAGTATTCTTTGTTTGTTGTTCTTATTATTTATGAACAATTTATATTAATTAAATTGACACCTTAATTCATATTAATTGTTCTACTGCTATCCATGAGTTTGTGATCCGTAATTGTCATGAATGATTGAAATGAGTAGCAAAGGGTTGGCTTATGTGTGTGTATTTATGGCTTTTCCATGTTTACATAGCTTGCATAATAGACTCTAGGGAAACAAAGGGACAAAATTAATTAACTTGCAGCTATCTCAAATTAATTGATTTTGGTTTAGTCATTCTCATCATCTTTAATGCTATTCTTTGATTAATATGGAACACTATCGTGCCCAGTTGATTAATTAATAAGATTTAATTTTGATGCTTGGTCTAAATTAATTAAATTAGGAGAATTAAAACTTACCACGACTGTTCCGAGTAAGTAGACTAAGTTCTTGAATCAAGAAATCAATTTTTTTTTATATAAAGCCGATGATCAAGATTACAATTGGATGAAAATCACACCTTTGGATTGGAAGCTTGGTAACATTAACTTTTGTTTTCCTTTTAGTTTATCTTTTTAAATTTCAAAATTTAATTACAAAACCCCCCATTTTTAACTTTGAGAAATTAATTCATTGGTTCCCTTGGGATTTGACCTGGTCTTGCTACTTCTACAAGTTAAATTTAGTAAAATCAGTAATTATTTTGGAGGGCCTCAACAACTCTTACCACTCATTATCGTGACTTTCAAGACATATGGTCTAATTGATATTCTAATGTTAATTCAGGGGACTTTGATTAATATGGAACGCTATCGTGCCCAGTTGATTAATTAATAAGATTTAATTTTGATGCTGGATCTAAATTAATTAAATTAGGAGAATTAAAACTTACCACAGCTGTTCCGAGTAAGTAGACGAAGTTCTTGAATCAAGAAATCAATTTTTTTTATATAAAGCCGATGATCAAGATTACAATTGGATGAAAATCACACCTTTGGATTGGAAGCTTGATAAGATTAACTTTCGTTTTCCTTTTAGTTTATCATTTTAAATTTCAAAATTTAATTACAAAACCCCCATTTTTAACTTTGAGATATTAATTCATTGGTTCCCTTGGGATTTGACCTGGTCTTACTACTTCTACAAGTTAAATTTAGTAAAATCAGTAGTTATTTTGGCGCGCCTCGACAACCCTTACCACTCATTATCGTGACTTTCAAGACATATGGTCTAATTGATATTCCAATGTTATTTCAAGGGACTTTCGTATCATAATGGTTACCTCTTCTTCAAGGGAGACCAACTATGTATCCCACATCCATCGTTATGTGAGGCCCTCATACAAGATATGCATTATGGAGGATTGACATGCCATTTTCGGAGAGATAAAACATTGAATTTAGTTTTGTTCGTTTTTATTGGCCTCAACTAAGAAAAAATGTTCTTAATTTTGTTTCTAGGTGTTTTATTTGCCAGACCAACAAGGGAACTTTCAACGCAGTTCTGGGTTCGAACTGGATGTCGTACTCACTTAGCTCCATTGCCTACTTCATCAGGCGTCCAGAAGCTTCTGGCTTACGGAAGATGTTTTTTAGGGGCAAGTTAGTGAGCACCACCACAGTATGGGCTTGGAAGTATGGTCTAAGCCGTCGGGCCGAGGTGACTAAAGCAAGAGCCAACTTTTCCATTTGAGGGTATCTGGTCTCGGCTTCGGTCATAGCCTTGCTTGTGTAGTAGACCGGGTTTTGCCGCGCTTCTTCTTGCCTGATTAGGGCCGAGCTGACGGCACTGTCAGACACTGCTAAGTACAACTGGAGCTTGTCCCCTGGCAGGGGTTTGGCGAGCAAAGGTGTCGAGCAAAGGTAACTTTTCAACTGCTGAAATGCTTGCTCGCACTCCGCTGTCCATTCAAACGGCCCTTTCTTTCGTAAGACTTTGAAGAAAGGAAGGCACTTATCTGTCGATCGTGAAACAAACCGGTTCAGGGTCGCAATCCTGCCATTGAGGCACTGAAGCTGTTTCAGCGTCTTAGGTGCCTCCATCTCGAGCACGACTTTAATCTTTTTGGGGTTGGCCTCGATCCCCCGGTTGTTTACCATGAAGCCAAGGAATTTTCCCGAAGAGACTCCAAAGGCACATTTAGCTGGGTTGAGCTTCATTTGATATGTCCTCAGAACCTCGAAAGCTTCGGTCAGATCGGAGAGATGCGACTTAGACTGCTTGCTCTTGACAAGCATGTCGTCCACATACACTTCCATATTCCGGCCGATCT